AGGAAATACCACAGCTGCATCTCCTTCTCCACCTGCTCCTCCTTGAGGTATCGTCCATTCAACTAGACTCCTCATTTTCGCTAGAGACAATCTTTTGAGTGCTGGAAATATTGGATCCGTACCACTTCCGCCACTACTGTAAAACTCCTTACCTATAACTTCCACACCACTCATTCCTTCTATCTCAACAATTTTAAGATGAGAAAGATGCCCTAATCTTGGAAGTTGTTTACACTTATTGCAGCCTTCTAATTTCAACACCACCAAATTATGGACTGCTGGAATCAAAAGCCATGGTGGGAATGATTCACCTCCATAATTCTCAATCTTTAAGCTTCTTATGTTTGGATGAGGCTGGAGACCCTCCAATACATCCTCGTCATTCATGTTGCCGCTGCTGCTTCCTCTAAGTGGACTCCATTCCAGCACCAATGTGTTAATCTTTGCTTTTCCAGACAGGTTTGCTCCCTTGGCTTCTTCTTTGTCTCTCACATTCTCCAGATTGAGTATTCTCAACTCCCCTCCTAGTTCCTTCATGCACCCAAGCTCTTCAATTTTGTGGCCTTTATCCGGACCCACTTCAAAGAATGGCAATGTTCGAAGACCAATTAAGCAACCGACATTAGCTGGTGTAGACCCAGTAAAGTCAATATGTCTCAAGCTCACCAAATTTCTCATTTTTCTGGGAAGCTTTGTGAGGGACCAGCAACCACTAAATCTTAAGGTTTGCAAATGGTAGAGCTTCGTGATGGATTCTGGAAACGCTTTGATATCTGTATCTGAAACATCCAGATATCTCAAATGTTCCAGTCTGCAAATTGAACCTGGCATCTCTTCGATATCAGCTCCATGCAAGTTTAGAGTTCGCAAGCCTTTGAATTTCCAATAATTGTTGAGGACATCGACCCTTGAGAATAAAGTATGCAATTTTCTAGCATCGACTTTTTGAAACTTTGAGTGGTCTCTCTCATAACAAATGACATTCTGATGACGAATACGAGATGCTCCATCTATAGCTTTACCAGCCTCCAAAATCACTGTCTCTGGTTTTGAGACTGACAAAGCAAGATCGTGAACAAGATCGTGCATCTTGCAACCCGTTATATTCTCAAACTCATTCCTTCGGACATCTTGGAAAAAAGAAAGTGCAAGTAGGTCATTAAAATACCTAGCACCAATTTCTTCCATGTTTTCCTTTCTTTCATGAGATGGCCTAAGTAACCCTTCAGCCATCCATAGCTGAATTAGTTGCTTCTTTTCAATCTCAGAATCTTTAGGAAAAATGGAACAATAAGCAAAACAGCGTTGCAGAGACGGCGAAGACAGGTGATCGAAACTTAATTTCAATATAGGTAAAATTCCATCATGTCTTGACGCGTCAAAAGCATCACTGTTTTTTATTGATAGCCATTTTTCCCTCTCCTTTTCAGAATGCAGCATTCCACCTAAAACTCTAGCAGCTAATGGCACTCCTCCACACTTTTTTGCAATGTCTTTTCCGATGGCCTCCAATTCTGCAGGAATCGGCTCCACTCCATTGCTAGTCACTATTTTCCTAATAATTGACCAACATCCATCATCTGATAGTTTCTCTGGTTCATGCCTACATCCAAGAGGACTCTCCATTATGGATGCTACTCGTCCACTACGAGTTGTAACAACAACAGCATTCCCATCATTCCTACTAATTTTTAACAAACGATCCTTTAAACTCTCCCACTTTCCATGTTCTTCATTCCACACATCATCAAGTATGAGAAGAAAATTTTTATTCCTCAACTCTTCTTGAAGATGTGTCATTATTGCATTTATTTCATCTATCCCGCCTGTGGTTTTGTTAAGAGTTTGCAACATTCCTCCTAAAATCCTTTCATCATCAAAATTATCAGAAACACAAATCCAAAATGTTACATCAAAAAGTTTTCTATTTTTTGCTTCTTCATGCACCATTTTTGCTAGAGTGGTCTTTCCAAGCCCGCCCATTCCCACTATAGGGATGACAGGAAGGACCTGTTGGTTGCGAGAGCTAATCAACAAGTTAATAATTTTAGAGACATCATCATCCCTTCCTATGACAACTTCTGAGCTGCCGAGGAAAGAATCAGTCTGTTTCGGCCTAGGTTGTGGACTTGCATCTACAGTTTGGACACTAAGTCCATACCCAGTTGCCTCTTTTTTAAGCTCATCTAAGGACTCATTTATCTTTTGAACTTTTAGAGCCATACACAGACGAAATGCAATCGGGTTGAAGTGGGAGAAGAAGCTGCGTGCCTTCCCTTTGAGACTGTTTTGAATCTCTACCTTCTGTCGAAGAACCTCGTAATCAAACTCATCTAGTACATCTTCTGTATCATAAGCTACGTCTCGAAGCTTCTGCAACCAAAGTCTCACGGACTCATCTGTTACTTGTCTTTTTTCAGCATCTTGTAACACCGCCTGAATCATGATCAATGATTCCTTGAGCTTTTCCAGCTTTCCCTTGAATCCCCATGCAAGACTGATCCCTTGAGCAGCAAGTGAACTGACCCTCTTCAGTACCTCCTCCGTTGCGAATGAAAGGACTACCTCAGCCATATTTTGTTTTTGGTAACTATTGACAAGAGAGAAATGGTTTGAAAGTTTTGAAAATAATAGAGAGAGAATGAATTAATTTGTTGTTAGGTTTGTGCATAAAAATCAAATGGAAGAGCAAAGTGGATAGCTTTTGACCCACCATGCATGGATATGAACTTTATTCCTTACCCTGTCTGAAGAAATGCTTTAATGCCTTCCTTTGCAATCGCTCTTTCTAGAGAAAAATTGCTGTTAGCACTTTGCTTTGCCAAGGGAGAAGTTATGATTCCTTTCTTTAAAACGGCATTCACTTGTGTCCCACACCAAGTTCAAACATCATTCCACTTTTTTTCCCGAAGGAATGTTTTGTTGCTGCCTTCCGTTACCTTTCTTTTTTTAAAGAAAAAATTCTTGGTGGTACTTCGTTGCTTAATTTGCCAAAAGAAGCAATTTTGATTCCTTTCTTAACATATTACGCTCTTTTGATATGACCAAATATTAGTTCAAATAGTTAAGAAATGCTTGCCTTAACATATTATGCTCTTTCATGTTAGGTTTTTTAAACCAATGATTGTTTTCAAAAGAGATTAGCATTTATTAGCATAGAAGAATTAAATTTTGAGACGAAGAAAGATCGTCTTTCATATTTCTTATAAATTGTTATATCCATCATTGTTATATCCATCGTCGTTCTACTTTGAGCTTTGATGATTTCTTTCACAATAACTTAAACTAGAATCACCTCTTACATTAAAAGTAGAATAATAAGTCCATAGATAATTGAAAAAACTCTATAAAAGAAAAAAAATTCCTTAAAGCTTGTCAATGAGATCCCCGTCGACAAATCCAAAAATAAAGGAATTTATTGAAAGTTAATTTATTGTTGATCACGTAAAAGTAACGAATTAAGAATTTATTTAGTATGTAAAGTGATTGCATTAAGACCAATTTTAAAATCCATTTTAACATTTACACTGAAGATGAAAGTCCATATCTCAAAGAAAATTTAACCCAGCTGATATGAAATCCTCCAAAACATAACTGAAAAGGGGAAAACACAAGTGATAATACTCAGCAAAGGGCTATGGACGTATGGTTTGCTACTCTGCAAAACACGAACCACTGCATGAAAAGTCAATTAGTGTCTTTAAATTCAGCATCGAATCAGAATTAGGATAATGAATAGTTAAGGTGTGTTTGTAGCGAATGTGGGCCGGCTTATTAGTGTAGGGAAGCCCAGAGGGTTCTTGCTTAGTTTTGACAAATTGAAGATGGGCTATCAGGTTTTGGTAAGAATATTGGGAAGCATAGGGGTTTCATCTTTATTGTTCTTGAGAGTTTAGAGATATTAGAAAAGCAATAGAACTTGTCTGAGTCTTTCAAAGTATACTAAGAATAGTAGTAGAAATGACAGGTGCGGTTTTTCTGAGGCAAAATTTTGTATCGGATTGGGAGGCAGGGAATTAGCACAACTGCATCTCGAGCTTCTCCTCCACCTGCTCCTCCTCGAGGTATCATCCATTCAACCAGACTCTTCAATCATTACTATAAAACTCTTTGTCAAAACACTTCACACCATTCGTTCCTTCTATCTCAAGAATTTTAAGATGAGAAAGATGTCCTCTTGTTGGAAGTTGTTTACAATCCCTGCAGCCTTCCAATTTCAGCATCACCAAATTATTGAGTATTGGCATGATAAGCCATAGTGGGAATGCATCACCGAGATAATTCTTAATCTTTAAGCGTCTTATGTTTGGCTAAGGCTGGAGGCCTTCCAATACATCCTTGTCATTCATGTTGCAGCTGCTGCTATCTTTTCGTAAACTCCAATTCAATACCTATATATGTGTTAATCTTTGGTTTTCCAAACAGGTTTGCTCCCTTGGCTTCTCCTTTGTCTCTCAAATGCTCCAAAATAAAAATCCCAAAGTTTTTAACTGTCCGGTTGTCTTGGATGTCTTGGACTGTCCTCAAAGACACTAATACGAGTTGAGCTATAGCTCATTAGTACTAGTATCATTATTTAATCACGTCTAGGATTTTTGGCTACTGTGTCTACATTGCCTAAGCCATTTAACAATTATTTAGGATGAGCATCCAGAACTTTTAATTCACATTATCCTCAAGAAATTCAACAGCATGATTTTCGGTTCCACGACAAAAAGGTTAGCATCATTTACAAAGTAAATAACCTACCAAGAAGTCTTACAATGAAACTCAGTGTCATGCCTTGTTTTATGATCTGTCAGTTTGTCAGATGCATTTGTTTTTGTTTTGATCCATTCGGCACTTGGCCTCTTTAAGTGTTGCAATTTTAATCAGGACGTTTGCTATGAAAATAACTTCTCTTCTTTCAACTTTGAGTCATTATCACAATAAAAAATGTGGGCAATCGGGTTTTGTGTTGTAGTATTGTTAGTAATATACTGTACTCATTGGATTAACAAATGGAGGAATCCAACCTGCAATGGAGTTCTCCCCCTGGTTCCATGGGCTTGCCTCTCATTGGAAAGACCCTTCATTTGATCATTCCAAGTTATTCTCTAGACCTTAATCCATTCGTCAAGAAGAGGATTCAAAGGTAATATGAAGTTATGATTCCTTTTAGTACTTGTCTTTGAGTTTCATAGCATTCTGAAGGTTAGCTAGCTTGTGGGATTTGCTTACTCTGTCTTTTTCTCTCTGGTGTTTCCAATTTCAGATTTGGACCCATTTTTCGAACTAATGTCATGGGCAGACCTATTGTGATATCAACCGATCCTGAACTCAACCATCTCATCCTCCGACAAGAAGGAAGATTGGTTGAGACATGGCATTTAGACACATTTTCCAGGCCTTCCAATCAAGACAGTGAATCTAGGACAAGTGCAGTTGGGGTTATTCACAAATATATCAGAAATTTATCTTTAACTCACTTTGGTGTTGAAGGGCTCAAGCAAGGCTTGCTTCCTCAAATTGAAGACATTGTTAAGAAAACCCTGCTCAAGTGGTCAACTTAAGCATCTGTTGAAGTGAAATATGGCTCTGCAGTTGTGAGTCCTATGATCGCTAGATAATCCATTTATGTGAAATTTTTTATGCTCATTAATATTGTTCTGTTTTTGACATAGGTTCTTCTTTGCAGATGGTTTTCAATTCCATTGCGAAACACATGTTTGGTTATGACGATGCCGAAAATTGGCAGATATGTATGGAGGTGATCAGGTCATTGCTGACTTGAACAAGGAGGATAAAGAAAAGTTTCTGTCAGATGATTTCAATATTACAGTGATCTTTGGATTGTTATTCGCCGGCTTTGAGTCAGTCTCGAAAATTCTGACACTAACTCTCAAGTTGCTAGCAGACCACTCAGTGCTACAGGAACTGATAGTGTGTATTATATTTGAAACTCAGCAAGCCTTCAGATTAGACCTTGATGTATACATGGTTATAACAATAGTAATATGTTTTTTTGCAGGCTGAGCATGAGGGGATCCTGAAAAGTAAACAAAATTCTGATTCTTTACTCGCATGGGATGAGTACAAATCAATGACTTTTACACTTCATGTAACTATTCTGATCCTCCTTACAACTATTCCATGTTCTTCTACTGCATCTGCTAGTTTCTGAAAACTGCAGGTTATCAACGAATCGCTGCAGTTGGGGAATGGTGCACCTGGACTATTAAGAAAAGCACTGAAAGATATTGATTTTAAAGGTATAATTTTTTTTATAACTCCTGGTTTAGATCATTACCTTGTATCCACTTTCAGATTGCAACTCCAAAAAATTGTTCAACTGTAATTGTTTTTCAGGGTTTACAATTCCGGCCGATTGGACCATAATGGCTGTCGCTTCTGCTTCTCAATTGAACTCTGACGTGTACAAGGATCCACTTGCATTCAATCCAGGGCGTTGGAAGGTAATAATCTTCGATCATCTGAAATTTAGAAGAAAATAAAACAGAATCATTAAACTTGATGATCTCTTTTGCATTGCAAATGGAACATAGGACATTGACCCATATCTTGTATCCAAGAATTTCATGCCTTATGGTGGAGGAACTAGACACTGTGCAGGGGCAGAATTCAGTAAATTGTTCATGGCCACCTTTCTCCATATCTTGCTCAAAAAATATGAGTATGTTCGTGTTTCTTTCCTTCCCTTTTGATTGCGTTTGCTTTTGTTGCAAGGCAGGAACATATTACATGCTTCTGCACATGTTTTTTTTAGCTAGACTGCTGCTAATGGATTTTTTGGATTTGTATTTCTTATAGGTGGACCAAAATCAAGGGAGGACGTGTTGTTCGAGGTCCTACGTTAGGTTTCCGAGACGGATTTCATGTTAAATTCTCTCCGAAACATAATCACAGACACTATATTTATTTATTTTATTTTATTCTCCAGAGATGATGCTCTAAATTTTCTCGGACTCATTATTTATCAGTTTGACAAAATTCAAGTAATTATAAAAAGAATTCCAGGCCGAATACGAATTATATGTAGCTCCGATCGTAGCCCAAGACAAAATTCAGGCCTAGGTACAGCTGAAAAAGCCCATCCAGGTCTAGCTCTATAGCCCATTTTTATTATTACTGAAACATATTTACAGAAAAAATCGAGTTTTTTAATTCTAAAAATTGAAGAAACTCTTAGAATAAATAAAAATATTTCTTTAATTAATAATAATAATAATAAATAGAAAATCAGAAGAAAAAAAAACTAAAAACTAAGTATATAACAAAAAAAATAAACAATTACTTAGGAACATGGGCCAACTGGGCTTCTGATTCATTTGCTTCTGAATAGCTATGGCCTATCAGTAATTAAACCACAACCCAAATACTTTCATAAGCTCAGATTGATTATTGGGTAAGCCCACCCATATGAATACTTCTAGATGCAGGAAGCAACTCACTCACGTATATATATATACACACACACACGCTATGTTTAATGGCTAAATCCGGGCAATTTTCCAATCTATCGATATATCCTTGATTAAATAAAATTTATTTTAAATATATATATTAATTTTTTATTTTGTTTTGCCAGATCATCAAACTAGTCATAAATAAAAAATTATTATTCAAATCATATGACTAATTCTGGTGATTTAGTCTTCAAATCCTATCCAAAGAATAAATTATAAATTTAACACATATACAAATATAAAATTAACTCAATTAAAGATTTGGGATGGATTGAAAAATTATATCATTATATAAAAATATTCAATTTTTGGTATTTTTTCAGACAAGTCGGCAACAATCTAATCCATTTTTTAGGAAAAATCCAGAATTTTTCAAGATCAGAAATCATATTTGTTTACTTTTTGAATATCAAAAATAGAGAAAGTTGAGAAAATAGAAAATAATATGAAACGATCCCAAATTTTTTAGAAAGCTCTGAAAAAATCCCACTTAACAATTTTCATCATGGAAATATTTATATAATTGTTATTTTTTGAAATAAAGAATACAAAACAGAAGAATGGACAATCTATTCAAGAAGGTTAAATTACAAATTAAAAAATTAACAACTGATTTTCAAACGTTTTATGAGAAGTTTAACCATTTTAGCCAAAATGTAATTGATAAAATATTTTTTGGGATTTAATTGATAATTGAGCAATAACTTAGAGACTAATATTCGGATTTCCCAAAAGTTAGCTTTCCCACACAAAAAAAAAGAGAATAAAAGTGAAAGAGATGGCCATGACAATTGTCGGAAACAAGCTGACAATACTTAAAATGGAGGGTCACTTTGGAAACAAGCTCAAAAATAATTTAGGGACGTGTGGATGGCCCCAAAAACAAAAAAGAAAAGAAACGTACAGCAGTGATTAGATTGAAGTGTTCAGAGAAAAGAGACGAGTGAAAGAGACAAGAAAACACAATAAGAGTAGTAGAAAAAAAAACGAATTGATTAATTTGTTCAGTAATAATGTCTTTTCATAAATTGAATTATGAATGAACAAATAATAATTGAAAAGAAAAAAAATCAATAGTGTCTTGAGCATAAGTTCATTTTTTGTCACTAAATATTTGCCAATGTTTGCGTCTGTAATTTTTAAGAAGTTTTAATTGTATTTTTAATTATTGAATTACTAACAAAAGGTGTATATATATATATATATAAAAGAAGTTTTAATTGTATTTTTAATTATTGAATTACTAACAAAAAGTATATATATATATATTCTCTATGTTTCTTGTTTTTCTGATACCAAACTCCTGTAAATGTTACATCTCAAAAAAAAAAAAAAACATTAATTGAATAAATCTATAAATAGTAGCCTATTTAATGTAGGGTGAGAGAGACATTTTCAAAATTACAGAGGTGATATATATCGAAAATTATAATTTTTTTAGCATACGAGTGGGATCATTGAGAAATCTATAAATAAAAGCCAAATTAATTTTATCCTAAATGATCCTTAATTCGTTTCATAATATTAAAGATGCATTTTGGGAGCACGTAGGGTTGGATTATATACAAGAGTAATGATGTATGACAAATTAATTGAATAAAATTATAATAATTATTAAAAGTTATTCGTTTTTTACTGTAGCATCACTCTATATACAATGACACGAAACTTTCTCTCGAGCAGGATCGATAGGATAGTATTCAAACTTTACATGGAATGTCTAGTTGAATAATCTATGGAATATAGAAATTCAAAAAAAAAAAAAAAAGTCTATTCAGTTGACTACTACTAATGAAGTTAGACCTTTTTACCAAGTCGAACTCCACTTTTTTTTTACGCATTATTATTGTTATTTTATTTTTTATTTATTTATTTTTATGCACAGTTAGATATCTTTCAGTAGGTTTATGTATTGATTTAAATTAAATTTTTTTTATGATTAAAATCGTACGTGATATTTTTATAATTTCACTTTCTCAAAAAAAAAAAAAAAATTATGATTGTTTTTATATTTCGAGGTGATAGGTTTGAGCCTATTCAATTCATCTTTAGCAAAATTAGCTAGAGTACGTAATTATTTGGCTAAATGCTATACACTCTCATTGTTTCCTCTCCGACCAAGGAACTGCCATGGCCATTCTTACGATGAAATTTCCTTTATTAAAAGAAAAAATAAATCCCATATTGTTTATTTATTTGAGAATAAATCTCATATCTATTAATTGCGAAGCAATGCATTCTTTTCTTTTTCTTTTTTCTTTTTTCTCAATTGTAAGGAAGCTCTACTCTAGAGAATAACTATGCTGAATAATTAAAATTTCATTCATTTCTTACAGTTTTATTTAAAGTAAACTCAAAAATAATTATATTTTATTTTTAAAAATAATTATTTTTCTTTATATTTTTAAATTTTCTTGTAACTTAATTATTTTCTTCATTTTTCAATTTATTTTAATTTTTTAAGAAATAAAAAATAAGTGAAAATATGAAAAGATCGATGAAAAAAAAAGTTTTCTAAAAATAACATAATATGAAATTAAAGGCAATCAACACTATTTAAAAACACTAAATAAATTATTTTTAAAACAAAAAGGACTACTTAATATATTTTTCAAAACTAAACGAACTAATTTATAATTTACCCATGGACTCCATTAAGTTGGAGAAAACATGGGGTGAAAACTCAAATAGATAGAAGGTTTTGGATTGACTGTAAGAAGTTACTCACCCTGCTAAAAGTGTAAAAGTCAAATAAATGGGGGCGATTTTAAGTACTTTTGCTTCAAAGAATTAACCACCGATTTTTTACCTCCCATGCACGCAGTAAATTATTTATTTTTTTAATCATAAAAAAAAAAATCAAATGGATAACGGGAGGAGTCAAATACATCTCATGTGTTTGTACTATATCTAAAACATTATTACAATCTATCTATTCAAATATAGTTAATAATAAGTGTTATGTTATTAGATAATGGTATAAAACAATCATTTGTTAATTTTTTTTATCAAATTAATTAATTTTTGTTAGTTGATTAACGTTTGATCATATCAATTTAATGATAAAAATATAATTTTTTAAAAAAATAAAAAAAATTTAAAGCTAAAATAATTAATAATTATTATAAAATCACTCAAAATTGAAAATATTTCTAAATAAATTTTTTAAAATAATCAATTTTTCAGATTTTAATGATCGCTGACAAAATGCATAAGCCAAGAGAAGCTTTACGTTATGAATAAGGGAAATATTTGCTTTCCGTAACTTATAACACACAGATAGTTACGCTGATAATTTATATCGTCTGACCGAAAAGAAAATAACCTCAAAAAATGATTGAAAATGAAGGGCACGGTATGAAAAAAACTTAAAGCGGGGGTCACTTTGGAAACAAGCTTAAAAAAAAAAAAAAAAAAGCACAGCTGTGATTAGATTGAAGTTTTTAGAGGAAGGGAGGAGGAAGAGAGACAAGAAAACATAATAGAAGTAGTAGAAAATAAGAATTAATTAATTTGTTTAATAATTATGTCTTTTCATAACTTGAGTTATGAATGAACAAATAATAATTGAAATGGAAAAAAAATATAGTATTCTAATTGTTAAATAACTGAATAAATGCATGGGTAAAGTTCTTTTTTGTTACTAAATATTTACCAATTTTTACTTCTATATTGAGAAATTTTTATTATAGCTTTAATTATATATATATATATTAGGTTCAGCAATAAAAATATCATCAGAACAATTTTCACGCATCTCTAGATTAATTTGTTTCTGGATGTAATTAAAAAGAATCGAATTATTAAAAAAAATCGAATTGTGAATTTAGCTTACAAATCGATACTTACTTAACCGAACTACTATCACCTTCTATACATATATATATATATATTTGTTTTTATTTTTCGCATATCAAATACCTATAAATGTAACATCTCACAAAAACACATAATTACCTTAAAAAAATTAAAAGATTAGCCCATTAACCTAGGGTGAGAAAGACTTTTTCAAAATTTCGAAGGAAATTATAAACTTTATAGCATATAAGTTTATCGTTGATATATCTGTAAATAGTATTAAAGGTGCAGCTCGTGAGCACAGTGGATTGGATTATATAAAAGAGCAATGATGTATGATGCGAATATTTTGTAACGAAATTTTCATGAATAGACACATGAGATAAATTGTCAAATAATTGAACTAAATTACAATAAACACTGTCGTATCTATTCTTTCTCCTTTTTTTTTTTTTTTTAACACAATGAGACAAAACTTTCTTTCAAGAGAGATGGGATGTTATTCAAACTTGACATGGAATCTTCACTGGCAGAATCTATGGGCTACAGAAATTCTAAAACAAAAACAAGTTCAACTAACTACTCCTAGTGTG